ACGTGATCGGTCTGGTGAGATCCCCCCTAACGCTAGTCGACGGGTCACGGGCGCCAGATGTCAAGGATGGCCCTCAGCACGAGGCGGGAAGGTGCGCACTGCTGTCACGAACAACAGTGCAGGGCCAGATTTCGCCACTTGGATCGTCTCTACTGCGTCACAAATATCCATTTTGACATTCTCCCCATTCTTCGGCTAAAATAAGGTGAGCATTCGTGCAAGTGGATGATGCACTATGGTCGGTCACATAGCATTACGGGTAATCGGTAACGGGGTCAACCGCAGGCTATTCCCGATCCAGCTTGAAGTTTGCCCTCAGATTTTTGGTCTGGCTCCGTCTATCCTTTTGCAACCGACGTTGGACGCTGGCAGCTCGCTCTAGTCCCCTCACGCGTTCCTTCTGCTCTTCTGATGGTTCGTTCTGGATGGGCTTTGACGCCGCGTCACAGATCAATGCGTGTAGCTGCGCGGTGATAAGCCAGATGTTGGAGTCATTGAGAAGGCAGTGTGTTCGGACCTTCGACAAACAGTCCTCAACATTGAGCGCCTGTGAGCGATGAATGCTGGATGTCATGAGGATGGAACGTGATGATTTGACGAAATATGACTGGTGGTATCACAGTCAATATAACAGATTCATATGTTGGAACCAACTTGCAAAAGGGGCATTGCAACTGACCGATTCCTGGAGGACCCCTTGCGACCATAAGGGTATCCATATGGAGTCGAGGGCACACCGCACGGTGGCCTTGGTATTAAGTTTGTTGACGTTCTGTTGGTCATCAAGGGTTCAACGCACGATGACGCCACATGCACGATAACGGACAAACCTGGCCCCCCGGACCAGAGCTCCGGGAGAACGCGAGCTCGACGGCAGTTCTGGGTATCGAACATCCTTTGAACTTCCTCAACCAATCCCGGGCGGCGGAGGCGTCTTTGGGTGTTGTAAGGCTAGGAAGTGAGGGTGGTTTCGGCAGAGACGATGATGCTCCCAGGCTGTGAACGGTTTGGTGGTGCACTCCGTAGATGGGTGACGGGGTGGGACGGCTGAATCCCAATGACAAGAGACGGCCCTGAGAAGAGAAACAACGGGTGGCGACCATTTGTTTGAATGTCCGACAACCGGGGCTCATCGAACTACACTGGCAGCAACGTAAACCCCAAAACTATGGCCGTGCGTATCGGTTCTGCACAATAATACCACACGCGCTCTGTGCGGTGAAAAAGATACCACCGTGCAGCAGAAAATTTGCGAGTCCGGAGGGGACTTGTTCGATCAGTTGGCGGCACCAAGCCGACAATTGTAGCTTGCAGACTCAGTATGGACGTCTTTAGCCAACTCAAGCCTAGCGCCCTGGACCGCTGCGGCGCCGTGGGACTCAGTCATCTCATCTAAGCTCCGCGGCCAGCCACAATATTCTGGCTCCCACCAACGTGTCCTAGGCACACACAAAAAGCAAGCTCGCAGGCGAATAAGAACTGTGCTCCGAGATTGAGGTCTCGATGGGGCCTGTGGTCGCAGTGGGGAGAACCGTCGCACAATGGGGACCCGGGGGTGCCGAGCCTATGGTATCGACTGGTTACTAATGTCAGCCTTCCCTCAGCGCTCAGCCCCCGCGCGGCATTTGTCTTTGTCGTTGACCCCTACATATATCTACAACGCTCTTGGGCTACAGATAACTTGCACCCAGGTACGGTCTGATTAGAACGGTTGTAATACATGTGGCCCTCACAGGGCTTACTGAAAACAGCTTCCCGACGAAATCAAAGAAGCTTTACACGTGAACATGACCACCGAGGTTGTCTCCGAAACCATCACCCCCTCTCAGCGACCTGAAGCGCTTTCGAGGGATGTCTTCCTTCTGCGCCCGAACCATATTGATACAAACGCACTGTCTAACGTTGCAACATCCACTGAGCCATCGTGAGTCCTTGATGGAAAAAGGACGCACATGCTCACGCCGAGGTTGCCGGTCCATTTCCAGTCTCATCATCATCTTCGGCTGGTGTACGTGCTTCGTACTTCCCGTGATACCGCATTTCTGAACCACCATTGAACCTTGTTTCTGTGGATAGTGGATGCCCAGCTCCCGCACCTCATGAAGTACTCCCAAGGTTACACCCATCTTTATCCTCAAGCGACGCAACTCATCATCCGTTCGAACATTGCGTCTGTGTTTAAACCGCAGCGTTCTCGAGTTAGTTTTCCAGAGCCGCCTTTTCACTTATCGTAGCAAACTCATTTGTTTCTTACATGTTTGATGCGCTCTCGTGCTTCTTGCTCTCGTGATCTCACCGGCCCCAGTTCGCGAACCTTGCGCCCGCCCTTGAAGCTGTGGAAGCCCTCGGGGTTCTCGACCCTCGGCAATCGCCTCCCCGTGTTCTCTCTCACGTCTTCTCAAATGGTAGGCATTGTCCTGTGTCATCCGGTTGCTTCAACCCCCGCTAACCTGGGCGATTCGTCGACACAGGCGGCGGGATGAACCTCGTAACTCTGTCCGACCTCCTCGTGTCACGCCAAAGCGTTCCCGCGCGTTCCGCGCTCGTACTTGACTCGTGTCCTGGCCGCCCGTCTATCCGAGGCTCCACCACTGCCATTACCATGTTTATACGCTCGCGCTGGTTGCGCTGGCCGGCCATGGTCTTCGCCGCGCTGACTCTCGCCGCTTTACATTGCCTGTCCCTGTTCGGCGTATGGCAGGACCCTATACTCTACGCGCGGCGTGCGCTGTTCCGCCCGCGTCTGCTCCCGTGGATGTGGACCGGCGATGATATCGCCGCCGCGCCGCGCCTTTACATCTTCTCGCGCGGCGATGTGACCGTGGCCGCCGATGCCGTGCTGGCTCATGTGGAGCGTGCGAAGGAGGCGGGGCTCAACGTGAGCATCGAGGAGTTTGAGGGGAGCGCGCACGTTTCGCATATGCGCACGGACCCGGTACGTTATTGGAAGCTCATTAGCGAGCTGTGGGCCAGCGCCAAGTAGGGCCTATATCTCGCGACTACGTGCTGACACGAGGGCGAATGGCCTTCATAGAGTCTGTTGTGTTGTAACCGTTGATTTTTGCAGTTCGGTCATACTTAGTGCTTGCAGACAGTCGTTCAGAAGGAGGTGTCATTACTGAACGACCGGCGGGCCCTCAGGGCGACGCCTACTTCTAATGCCGGTGCTCTAATCAGAGATCTCGCTAAACATTGCATCGTGCCTGCTCGCTCATCGCTGCATGGACCCACGGTACTCGGCAAGGATGGTGACCGGGCGAGGGGTGATTTAACCTGATCTAACTCGCTGACGAACCCGGCGCAGAGAGAACCGTATGACGCGGCTCCACGGTAGTCCGGTTCCTCGAGTTCGATCGTGCAGTGCATATTGCCTCAGCAACTGCGGTGTGCCCGCGCGATGTTGCTCATTTGTTGCCCGGCTTGATCTTCGGAGGCGGGCCCTGGTGACGGGGTGGCACGTAGCCGCTGCAACAATTACTTCCGTTTCCCCATAGTCAGCTAATTATTGACCGAATGGCGCTCCGCTTCAAATCTGGCGCAAGCTGGCATGCCCTTTCGTATGTCCGTTTCCTCCTAGCCGGTTCTTCTCATCAATGGCGCGGTTTGTTCGCATCGCAGGTGGCATCGCAGAATTCTTTCCTCTGATACGACTGAGAGCCCATATCAAGTCGCCTCGTTTTCTGCATCTTGCTGCCAAGAGTTGGACTGTAGGGAATATCTCAACATCTACTGTTCGTACCATTAGGGGAGCTATGCACAGAACAACAAACCGTTGTGTTTATCGTTGCACGCACCAAGCCCCATCGAAGCGCGACGGTCGTATGGCACGAGCTTTGACAGGTCTGCAGGTCCGAACAAACTCGGAGTGGCCTTAGTGCCGAGCACGGGTGTGCCCTCGGGCCCCCAGAGCCTCCGTGAAGAAGCCTAAGGGAGGCCCCCTGAGGCGGCCGAGTTCGGCGGGGCCTCTGCAGGGTCATGCGCTTGTATGAACATTCATGTATCAGCGGTACTCAGGTGCTCCCACCGAGGCTCTTTGATTCCGAGCTGATGCTGGCTTCCTCGATTCATTAGGTTGCCGGCGCGGAGTCCGTTCTGTTCCGCGCAACGAAATCAACGTTGGTGCCCGGGGTAGCTCATCAGCAAGCGCCCGGGAATCATGATCAGATGCCGACCTCGCCTTCCAATCTTCCGCTACAGGCTCTCTGCGTTGCAGCAGATTGCAGCCTCAGCCTGGGCTGATTGCTGCTCCGAATGTGGGGGATAGGGCAGGCGCCGGCTGATACACCGTTTACCAGCCGCCCGCTGCCTCAGCATCACGCACGCAGCTATGATGCGCTCGAGGTCCGAGCCCTCCCAGACTTCCCATACCGCCGGAGCTGCGGACCCTGTTTCCTCAGCACAATCGCATACGGTACTACACCTCAACATGTCCCACAGGCACCGGTACTGGCGACGTGCTCCGCGGTCCAGGAACTGATCGAAGCGCAGTGTAACGCTTCCGTGATGTCAATACAGAGACGAAGCAAGTCTTGATGCCAGCGTCTTGGATTGTCCGGTGAGCGAGTGCCAGTGAGACGCCCAGCTCCGTACAGGCTCGGGTTGCGGTAAATGCGGTGCAAAAGCAGAGAGAAGCAGCTTCACTTTTTCCGGGTATCTCGGGAATGCACTGGTGACTGAATCCGGCCTCAGGAAGAAAGATCTCATCACGGCGAGCACCGAACAGTGATGCACGAACATGAAGCACAGACTTCAGGACCGTAGCCAATAGTAGACGCATGAGAGCGCTGGGCTACAACGGTTTCCCCAGAGATGAGCTGTGGTTTGCGTGGTGACGGTGGATTGGATCGTTCTACAGTCTGCCGCATTTCCAAGTAAACAGCTGGGCATGCAGGCAGAATTCAGAAGAAAGCATGAGACTATGCATGCACTTTGGACAACTCAGTATGCACCAGCCTACCCTAGAGTACATCGTTGTAGGCACAAGGCCAAATAGCAAGAAGTCGGATATGGTGTAACGGCTAACATTGCCGCCTCTCACGAGAAACCCTGGAACGACTATAGGTTCTTTTCAGCGCGGCAGCTCGGGGTTCGATTCCCCGTATCCGAATACCTTTTCCCTCCTGAGACTATCAGGGGCGTAAGTATAGGACACCATTTTTTGGTCTGGAGAATGATTTGATGATAGGAGAAACACAAAATGTCACAGCAGTGCGTGTGGCCATGATGTCTGAGCTTGATAATATCCAACACACTCAACGCAATAATAGATTAACCTCGGCATCACATCTGGGTCCATCATTCGAGAACTATCTACGACAAGATGGTACGGTAAGCAGCCCCGACCCATAGCACGCTGCAATGATAGTCAGCGATGTCCGCCACCAACGACAGGATTAGGATTTCATGATTCAGAAAATTTGGCATAAAATCATGGCCGAAGCTCAGGAACAGCTTCTAGTTGATTATATTTGATTGGTTCATCGTAGGATGAAGGTATGGTATCGGCAATCTGGTTGAGACTCACAGCGATATCGATAAACGACGCTCATCTATGGGATAACGGATAGTCAGCTGTGGACTGTAGCTCGGGGGCGATGATTGAATGATGAATCAGACTGGGTTGCCCGAAAAATTGAGCTGTGGCGGGCACTTTCGGCAGCGTTTATACGAAGACCGTCGTGTAAAGAACATCATACGAGCGGGGTAGAACCGCGATAAAGGAGGTCAAGGCATACTACTCACCTCATATTTGTGCGATGCTTGCAAGAGAACAACGAAGCGATGTTCGCAGACCATGGAAGTGTACTAGGGAGATGGTGTGAGCTGCAAGTCTCGACAAACAAGTCACAAGAACGTCAGTATAAAAGAAAACAGCCATGTTTCGTCGTCAATCTCGAGTCCACGTATGGGCGAGGTCAGGCGGTAAATCCATAAAGGAGCATCATTCGATAACAATATGGACGAAGGACTCACACATGAGAAACACGGGACACAGAGAAGAGGGTAGGGAGAGGGGGCTTGCGAGAGATCCTAGGAGACGAGCAGGGTTAGCACTTGTCCGAGGACATATAGGCAACAAGGTTCAGTAAGTAACATATGAAAGCACGGAGCAACAGCTCTCAGATACTCTAGTTTGAAAAGAATAGGTTCGTCCTAACGAAGCTAATGTAATGACAGGTTGTACTCACCCATTCAAACTTCTCCTACACCGTCCATCACGAGTCGCTGGTCACCGGTCACCATAAGCGAAGGTGTGATACTAGCTGCTGAAGAACTGTGAGCAAACGATTGAATAAGAAACGAAAGAACGTTGAAGGACCGATCAGTGTAACTATGACATATATACGGTCTTTGCATCGCCGCTGAGGTACAACGGCGTGCTCGAGTAAACGATAAAATTTCATCTTGTCGAGAAAGGGTGTCGAGAAGCTGAGATGGGCAGACTCACCTGAAGCATAGCAGAAGATGCTGCTTATCGTGGGCGTTCATCGCGAGAGATACGGTCCGAGGGCTGAAGAACGCAAAACATGGTGTCGAGCAGAAAACGACTTGCAGTTGCCGAGCCCAAATTTATGAAAAGCGTGACCGTGTTTAGGGCAGGCCGGATGCCAGCAGCGCGTACGACGCGTTTGCTCCGAACGACTCCGCTCCGAAGGTACGGCGGAACGCGGGCGGCGAGACCCTTGCCAGGCGAGGCCGAGACTAACTCAACCCCGGGAATGCACACTTTCTCTTCTTCATTGCGGAGCTCGCTCATATCTACCTCGAGACCTGCATTGTCTCAATCGAAAAGTCAGGCATCCACCACTTTGCTCCGAGAGGACGCTGCTCATGACGGTACAGGACTCTTCAGGACCAGCGTCACCCCCGTGGACCTCAGATACGATGCCCTCCACCCCCCGGATGTTTCGAAGGGTGAAATGCCGCTAGTCATCCTCCACGGCCTCTTGTGTGTGTCGTATACCTTTCAGACTGTTGACCCTTGCTCATAATTCCTTAGTGGGATGAAACGAAATTGGTTGTCACTATCTAAGGCCTTCTTGCGTGACCTCCAGCGGCCTGTATATACCTTAGTAAGTATAATCTCATATCCGCGCTGACCGAGGGGGTCTTATCAGTCGTAGGATCTTCGTAACCACGGGTCATCTCCACATGCGAGTCCTATGAACTACGAAGCAATGGCTGCGGACGTGATACATTTCTTCCGAGAACGCTCGCTATCGAATGTCTCTCTCCTTGGACACTCTATGTAAGCCGCATATATCTACATACGGAGCGCATATGCTGACTCTCGCAGGGGTGGCAAAGTCGCAATGGCTGTTGCACTCTCCCCACAGCTTCCTGAAAACGTCGTTGACCACCTCATTGTGGCAGATATCGCACCCTCAGCGGCGGCGCTGTCATCTGAATTTCAGGGCTACGTAGAAGCCATGAGTAAGATAGAGAAGAGCCAGGTAAGCTCTCGAAAAGAAGCGCAAGAGATTCTTACTCCATACGAGCCAGTGCGTCCTCCACGCCACTGCAAGTGCCTATTTCGCTCACCTTCTCTCAGGACCCAATGACGCGTGCCTTCCTCCTGACAAACCTCGATGCCGCTGCCAAGCCGCTCAAGTTTCAGGTGCCACTCGATATAATCGGTCCTTCGATCCCGGACCTTGGCGGCTTCCCCTATAAACCAGGCGAACGTACTTGGGGCGGAAGCACACTTTTCATTAAGGGCGCGAAGAGCAAGTACATCAACAAAAACAATATACCATTGGCAGAGGCGTTTTTCCCCAATATGTCTCTCGAGACGCTAGATACTGGACATTGGGGTATGTCGTCCGGTTCGTTTTGACTCTCATTCTTACTGAGCTCGTGGCGTCAGTGCATGCTGAGAAGTACGTCTGCCTTCTTCTTCCGAAGCTGTCACGGAACTAATACTATTCTTATAGGCCAAATGAGTTCAAGAAGCTCGTTGTAGATTTCGTCACTCAGCCATAGACACACTGTATCATACCGCCGCGACACACAATCCTAAACTCTTTCTCCTATCACATTCGAGGACGCAGTTCGCAAAGGACATTATCCTTGCTGATCTCCGTCTTTTTCAGAGCAAGCATAGTATCGATTGACCGCAGCGGGGTATACATACATAGCAGTCACATAAAACAGCAAGACAGGCAAACGTCGGCTCACCCATCCACAGATCTCCGGTATTAAACCACTTCTGCACCTTCCTGACATACTCCACGCTCCAGGTCGACGTCCCACCCCGTCTCCTTCGATCCATGCACATCCAACGTCGACTTGGTCTTCCTCTCTCGTGCACCAGCGCTAACCTCGGGGAGGCCAAGTTTCCGTGGCAATAGCAATGGCCGCATCCCACTCCCGTGAACAGAAGCGCGCGAACGACTGGACGAAGACACAGGTTGTGCGATGCGTGCCCGCGCCAGTGCTCGCAGGTACTCCCGATCCGTATTCGCGCCAGCACGCACGAGCTGTGGCTCGGACGCGGCATACGCCGGCGCGCCGTAGATGCCCCCCGCGCCCGCCTTGCACCTGCATCTGTCCCCACGCGGGATCACGCACTGGCACGGGCAGCGATACGCCCACGCGGACAGGTCGTATGCATTGCCGTCGCTCTCCGCACCCGGGGAGTAGTACGCGCCCGAGTGCGCGCCGAACGGGTCACCCGCGTTGCCATGCGCATCCTCGGTCTCGGCCGTCGAGTCGATGCTATGCCGCGGCAGGTGGACGGGCGTCGATGCGCGGCGCGCAGAGAGCGGAAGCGAGAGCGCGCGGGGGAACGAGAGCGAGAGCGGCGAGGATGGGAAGGAGAGCGAAAGCGGCGAGCGTGGCACGAGCGCGACCGAGAGGGTGCGGAGCGACCGCCGGGGGCGGATGGAGGCGAGGCTTGCGCGCGCGAACATGGGCGTCAGCGGCGTGGCGGGTGTGCTGTCCGGCGCGGAGATCGCGGGGCTCGAGAATGCGTGCTCGGGCTCGAGCCCGGGCGTCGACGCGCGAGAGAGCGGCGGCGAGCGCGGACCGAGTGACATCTGCACGAGCGCCTCGAGTACGTCCTCATCTGTGTCCTCCTCTCCCTCCTCGTCCTCATCTTCGTCCTTGTCCTCTCCCTCTTCTTCCTCGCAGGACTTGTCCTTGGAAATCTCGCTCTTCCTCCCGAACGTGGCTGCGGCCGCGACCATCCGCGTGTACATCGCGTGCTTCTTCGCGCGGCGCCGCTCGTTCACGTGTACTTTAAGTGCGCGTGCGCGAGCGCGCGCCCATGCTCGCGCTCTGGCACCGAAGACCGGCGCAGGCATCGGGGTTGGTGGCCGGGCTGCTGCAGATGCGTAGCCGTTGCTTGTCGCAAGACGGCGGCGCGCAGACGCAGACGCAAAGAGCCCACGCGCGCGGCGCCAGAGGGTGCGTAAATGTGCGAGGAGAACGCGGAGAAACGTGCGCGGTAGCATGGTGCGTGGCAGGTGTGTGCCCCTCCCGAGAAACAAGAGGGAATCGCGGGGCGCGTGCGTCAACGAGCTTTCGCATACTTACGCCGCGGCGCCCGTCAGCCGCACGATCGGGCCCGCGGAGGCTTGCATGTCTGGCGTGTATCCCTTCGTGGCGGCGGCTGGCGGGCACTCCACGCGGAACGCGTGCAACATTGACCGACAGACGTATCGGGATCTCGGAAGGAAGCATGGAATCCATGAGCGAAGCGTGCACGCGGGACGTATCTGGATCTCGTCTGGCCAGGTACGGGTTATATTGTGGACTTATATGCGCTGTCGCTCCAGGCCGCTGCCTCTCGCGCTGCAGCGTAAGGGACCGCGCGGGCAACCCCCAGCTCGCAATACAGATGGCAGGTGCAATAACTTTCCATTGGCCATCGCTCTTTACTGCGCATTGACCTCCGTTCTACAGGACATCAAGAAGTGCAGCTGCGGCGGTGGAAGATCGCGCAGGGTCCTCCGCACGAGGCACTGCCAGGAATGCTTTCAGGAGCCAGATGCCCCGTTCTGGGGTCACTCGTGGCAAAGTGCCCGCCCCAAACGCTCCATATATTTTCCTTATACGGACAGCATTGCGAGCACAGCAGCTTCGTGCTGATCGTGAGCAATGCCC